TTTTTTTTTTTTTTTTTTTTTTGGTACCAGGGATTGAACCCAAGGGTGCTCAATCACTGAGTCACATCCCAAGCCCTTTATTTATTTATTTATTTTTCAGTTATAGATAGACACAATACCTTTATTTTATTTATTTATTTTTATGTGGTGCTAAGAATCGAACCCAGTGCCTCACAACCTGCTAGGCAAATACTCTATCACTGAGCTACAACCCTAGTCCCCTGCCCTTTTTAAATAAAATATTTTATTTAGAGACAAGGTCTCATTAAGTTGATTAGGGCCTCGTTAAGTTGCTGAGGCTGGCTTTAAACTCATGATCCTCCTGCATTAGCCTCCCAAAGCAGTTCTTAGCACCCATTTTAATCATGTAGCGTTGTTTATGCTATACTTGAAATGTGAAATAATTGGCTAAATGATTATTGAAAGATAAAATATCAACATAAACTTTAGAACGATTATTGTTGATATTGCTTGTTTTATCAGATTCTTGCCAGAGCTGAGAGCTAAATTATTACAAGAAGCAAAAGTCAATTCATTCATAAAACCAAAAGAGCATTCTAAAGAAAACGAACTTGTGAAAGATGAAAGAAAAGCAATTTATAGCAATACGTTCCTAAGTACTTCAGTTTTGGGAAAGGTAAGAACTTTGCTTTTCATTTCAGCCAACATAATTGATTTATAATTATCCCTCTAATGGAAAAAAAATTCTCATGACTCATATTTTGGATGTGTATATTTCAGGAAGTAGAAAAAGAGAAAAAGCCCAAGGAGATCAAGGTCAGAGTTATTAAAGTTAAAGGAGGAAAAGGAGATATTGCAGAACTGAAAAAGATGGAGTATGAAGGTGGACATGGTCAACAGGATGCAACTGAAAATGCTCACACTGTGTGTCAAGATACAAAACCTATAATCAATGAGCCATCAAACCCTGTCAATCCCAGCACTAACTCCAGTGGTATGAAAGAAGATCCACATGCTGGAGGGTGTATGATAATGCCACCCATCAATCTAACTAGCACTAATTTGATGGCAGCAAGTCTCAATTCAAATATCTCCCACCCCAATCCAAGGTGAGCTGTAATAGAGAAGAGACCTAAGTAATAAAATGTTATTGTATAATAGAAAAAAGTTGATATGACTGAACTTCTGTTATACATGTACCTTGGTGTCTTAGTCCATCTTCTTTTGCTATGACAAAATACCCAATGCTGGGTACTTTATTAAGAAAAGAGATTTATTTGGCTCCATATTCTCATGGTGAGAGGGTCCAGGCAAGGGCCCCTGGCTGCATCATAACATGACAAAGAAGTGGAGAGGGAATGGGCAATATATGGAAGGAGCATGTATACAAGCAAGGAAGCAAAAGGGATTCAGGGGAAGTTCCTGGCTCCCTTGTAACAACCCTCTTTTATGGAACGTCCTTCAAGAGTAAAACATGCC